ACTGAAATGATAGGAAGGAGAGGGAAAACATCTCAGGAAGGGGAAATGGTGAGAGGGAAAAGAAGCCCAGTTTGTTGATAAGACCGTTCTGGAGTTGGATAGCTGAGTAATTAGTTGGATACAGAGAAGGGGAGTAATAAATCCTAAAGTTAAAAAGAAAAGCTATAGCCAGCTTGTTGCACAAACAGTTTGGGGTGGGGAGCTTGGAAGGGAGAGTAGGTCTTGCACTCTGGAGCTTGGGCTGTATAAGTTGGATGGCATCTGCAAGTGCTTAGGTGTGGAATGACATGATGAAAGTTAACACTTTTAGGAAAATAATCTGGCAGGGGTGTTCGGGATGAAAGGACAAAGGGAATCATTAGCAGGGTAAATTCCAAATGTAAATTAGCCATCATGAAAAGCCTTGTGGAAATGAAACAATCCACTGTGAATTTCAATGCAAGAATGTGTAGTGGAAAAGAGACACCGGCTATGGCACATGAATAAAGAACATTTGAAATGGAGTCTTAAGAAACCTGGGCCATCTCGTCACATTGTCCCTTGGTGGAGGGCAGATCAGGGTGGTAGCCACAGAAGGGAGCTCTGTGAAGAGCAGGGAAAATTGCATTGTTGCTTGGGGTACCTTCAGGGTAGAAGGATGGAGACTATACCACAAAAATGCCACTCAGCAATTATGTCTTTCCTATGTAAAGTTCATAAGATAATATGACAAAAATAGTTGAGACAGAGAGAGAATGAATGGATCTTAGGCTTATTATTTGATTGTTGACTTGTTCTTACTTGTTCTATCCAATTCTAGACTGGCAACCAAGCAAGTCTTGGCAGCCCAGAATCCCTCCCTAGCACATGTTGCGCGATCCTAGGGAACACCAGCAGGCCTTGTATGGTATACATCCCGTGTGGTTATATGCAATTGCCTTTGTGACCCCATGAGATCTTAAATTTTATTTAACTTGTCTAGTTATTTTCTCCTATCCCACAACCACCCCTGAAAATCAACCCTTCTAATTGGAGCTTAAGACCAGAAGACAACATTAATAATATTATTTTACTTTGCATTTACTGTTCAAAAAGTGTTTTTATGTATATTAGTTCATTTAATCCTCACAAAACACCCTATAATTGTTAGGTAAACATTATTGTCTTCATTTTGCATTTGAGGAAACAGAAACCAAGTTTCTGAAAGTTAAAGGGGAATATGGTTAGAACTCACATTTTTTGAGTCACTATTATATGCCAGACCCATTACATGTGCCCAGGTTCACGGAGCTAATTAGGGTCAGAGCAGAAACTCAGCCTGGTTCTCCTGGTGATTTTAAGGCGGCGACAAGCAATTTACCAGCCATTGTTCATCCACCTGAGAAAACTTTGCTTTGAGTATTGGCACCAAAACTAGAGTTCTTATTCTTCAAACGGTTGAAAAACAGCTGAGGTCAACCTCCCAAAAGGTTTTAATGTTTCCATTTCAATTCATAAGCAATAAGGGATCAACCAAGCAATAAGATCCAAAGGATGCTTTTTTGTTTTATTTTTATTGGGGATGAAGCCTGTTTTTTTTTAATTTTTTATTGTTATGCTAATCACCATACATCATTAGTTTTTGATGTAGTGTTCCATGATTCATTGTGCATAACACCCAGTGCTCCACGCAGAACGTGCCCTCTTTAATACCCATCACCAGGCTAACCCATCCCCCCATCCCCCTCCCCTCTAGAACCCTCAGTTTGTTTTTCAGAGTCCATCGTCTCTCATGGTTCATCTCCCCCTCTGACTTACTGCCCTTCATTCTTCCCCTCCTGCTATCTTCTTCTTCTTTTTTTTTTCTTAACATATATTGCATTATTTGTTTCAGAGGTACAGATCTGTGATTCAACATCTTGCACAATTCACAGCGCTCACCATAGCACATACCCTTCCCAGTGTCTATCACCCAGCCACCCCATCCCTCCCACCCCCCCCACTCCAGCAACCCTCAGTTTGTTTCCTGAGGTTAAAAATTCCTCATATCAGCGAGGTCATATGATACATGTCTTTCTCTGATTGACTTATTTCACTCAGCATAACACCCTCCAGTTCCATCCACGTTGTTGCAAATGGCAAGATCTCATTCCTTTTGATGGCTGCATAATATTCCATTGTGTATATATACCACTTCTTCTTTATCCATTCATCTGTTTATGGACATCTTGGCTCCTTCCACAGTGTGGCTATTGTGGACATTGCTGCTATAAACATTGGGGTGCACGTACCTCTTCGGATCCCTACATTTGTATCTTTGGGGTAAATACCCAGTAGTGCAATTGCTGGATCGTATGGTAGCTCTATTTTCAACTGTTTGAGGAACCTCCATACTGTTTTCCAGAGTGGCTGCACCATCTTGCATTCCCACCAACAGTGTAGGAGGGTTCCCCTTTCTCCACATCCCCGCCAACATGTTGTTTCCTGACTTGTAATTCTAGCCATTCTGACTGGTGTGAGGTGGTATCTCATGGAGGTTTTGATTTGGATTTCCCTGATGCCCAGCGATGTTGAGCACTTTTTCATGTGTCTGTTGGCCATTTGGATGTCTTCCTTGGAAAAATGTCTGTTCATGTCTTCTGCCCATTTCTTGATTGGATTATTTGTTCTTTGGGTGTTGAGTTTGATAAGTTCTTTATAGATTTTGGATACTAGCCCTTTATCTGATATGTCATTTGCAAATATTTTCTCCCATTCTGTCGGTTGTCTTTTGGTTTTGTGGACTGTTTCTTTTGCTGTGCAAAAGCTTTTTATCTTGATGAAATCCCAATAGTTCATTTTTGCCCTTGCTTCCCTTGCCTTTGGCGATGTTTCTAGGAAGAAGTTGCTGAGGCTGAGGTCGAAGAGGTTGCTACCTGTGTTCTCCTTTAGGATTTGGATGGACTCCTGTCTCACGTTTAGGTCTTTCAACCATTTGGAGTCTATTTTTGTGTGTGGTGTAAGGAAATGGTCCAGTTTCATTCTTCTGCATGTGGCTGTCCAATTTTCCCAACACCATTTGTTGAAGAGACTCTCTTTATTCCATTGAACATTCTTTCCTGCTTTGTCAAAGATAAGTTGACCATAGAGTTGAGGGTCCATTTCTGGGCTCTCTATTCTGTTCCATTGATCTATGTGTCTCTTTTTGTGCCAGTACCATACTGTCTTGATGATGACAGCTTTGTAATAGAGCTGGAAGTCTGGAATTGTGATGCTGCCAGCTTTGCTTTTCTTTTTCAAGATTCCTCTGGCTATTCGGGGTCTCTTCTGGTTCCATACAAATTTTACGATTATTTGTTCCATTTCTTTGAAAAAAGTGGATGGTATTTTGATGGGGATTGCATTGAATGTGTAGATTGCTCTAGGTAGCATTGACATCTTCACAATGTTTGTTCTTCCAATCCATGAGCATGGAATGTTTTTCCATTTCTTTGTGTCTTCTTCAATTTCTTTCATGAGTATTTTATAGTTTTCTGAGGACAGATCCTTTGCCTCTTTGGTTAAATTTATTCCTAGGTATCTTATGGTTTTGGGTGCAGTTGTAAATGGGATCGACTCCTTGATTTGTCTCTCTTCTGTCTTGTTGTTGGTGTATAGGAATGCCACTGATTTCTGTGCATTGATTTTATATCCTGCTACTTTACTGAATTCCTGTATGAGTTCTAGCAGTTTTGGGGTGCAGTCTTTTGGGTTTTCCACATACAGTATCATATCATCTGCAAAGAGTGAGAGTTTGACTGATGAAGCCTGTTTTTATTTGTAATTTTTCTGGAGGAGTTTAAGGGCTGAAGGGATGAATTACCTCTGGTTTTCTGTTCCAACATCATCAAAATGCCCCAGTAGATATTATGTTATTAAAAGGGATGCTGTGTGTGAGGGCATTCTATCTTGTTACATTGTATACTAGGACAAAGTATTTAGAATAAATTGAAATGAATAATTAATGAAGGGAAAAGAATGTTTCTTTCAAGTTTCCCAGATATACTAGTCCTGTTCTTACCCCAACCCTACTGACTTCTCCTTACTTCCTCTTTCCATTTTTGCATCATCTTTACCTGTTTGTTCACTCATGGTTTATTCCTTCCTTTCCATTTTAGAATAGCTGTGATAGCAGACTATCTGCCAATAAGGAGCCTTTGTTCTCTCAAAGAGATGGCATGGAAGACAGGAACAGCTGTTGCTCTTTCTACCATGAGCTCCTGGAAATGCCTTGCCTTCAATCCATGGACCCACCCACCAGGCTGGCAAACAGGAAAAGGGCCCTGTGATCACTGACTAAGCCAGGACAAGGGGAGCCCCACAGTATACGGTACCCTTCCACTGGAATGACCATTTCTGGTCACTCTCTGCTGTTTTAGTGAACTGGTTAGTCTACAGCTTCTCTACTCAGAGTATAGTCCAAGAACCAGCATCATTAGCATCACCTAGGCAGTGTTTGAAACACAGAACCTTTACCCCAAACTTGTGGAATCAGGATCTGCATGTTAACAAGACCCTCAGATCCAAATGGACATTAAAGTTTGAGAAGTACTAGTCCACAGGATGTCCTTTTGCCCACAAACACATTTTTCTTTCTTACAACTTTGGCACATGCTGCAAGGAAAATCAACAAATATCATACACTATACTGAGATACATCTTAGTGAAAATTATATTCTTACATCTAAGTTCACTAATAACCAAGAAAACAAATTTAACTTAGAACAAGAAGTTGAATTCTTCTCCCTGGTTATGTTATTAATGTGCTGATTAGATCAGTGAACTTCCTTGTTGCAATGATTTGACACCTCTTTTGGATTACTATTTAAACCAAAAAAATAATCAGAAACAACTTACTCAAGCACCAACTCAAATCTTGCTTTTTGGCAATTTCTACAACTCCTCATATAGCCCCTCAGGCAAAAACAAACTAGAAATTCCCAAATCAAAAAACAAAGATGGTAATCAAAATACATTTCTTCTAACATTTTTTTTATTTTTTTTTATTTTTTTTATTATTTTTTTTTTTTCTTTTTGGCAAAGAATTTTATTCTTACGAAGAGTTCCACGTATATGCAGCCTACAGAAGGCCAAGAACTTCCTTTCTAGGTGTCTTCTCTGAGCTAGTCCCATACAGGGCATCCATCTGTCACCCAGAAGGAACTTGCTACCCAAATAGCTACTTCACAGCTTCTGCCACCCTGGCCCACCATCTGACCACAAAGGAGCTAGCTCCCCCAAGGAAGAGGCCACATCAAAAGGTCCACTGGTTGTCAAATGATCCTTTATTGAAACATTTTCCTTTGTAGTTAACTAGCCGGGCATTCCAGCGCACCACTGTTGATGTCATCTATGATGTCATGAGGGTGGCGGCCATCTACATTGCAGCCCACAGACTGGGCAGTCCCCAGGATCTCTTTAATGGTTCCAGAGAGTTCTCTCGCTAAAGATCGGTGTCGCATCTGTCGGGCAATATTGACAATCTCATCAAAAGTGATATTTCCACTGTGCTTAATGTTTTTCTGCTTCTTTCTGTCTCTTGGTGGTTCCTTGAGGGCTTTGATAATCAGGGCAGAGGCAGAAGGTACCACTTCAATCTGGGCCTGTCTGTTCTGAATGGTCAGTTTCACCATAATCCTTAGACCCTTCCAATCACCGGTTGCCTTGGCGATGTCATCACCAACCTTTTTTGGAGACAGACCCAGCGGGCCTATCTTCGGGGCCAGGGCAGACGTGGCACCGACTTCGCCACCGGTGCACCTCAGGTACACGACTTTGATCTCGTTGGGGTCGAACTTAGGCGGCATGGCGGAGGCGGCTGGTGTCGGATGAACCCAGATTCGGGACGACCGAAGAAAGTTGCACCTTTGCCTCCCCGAGCCGAAAGCCAAAAAAAACAACATTTTTTTTTTTAAAGATTTTATTTCTTTGACAGAGAGAGAGAGAGACACAGCGAGAGAGGGAACACAAGCAGGGGGAGTAGGAGAGGGAGAAGCAGACTTCCTGCTGAGCAGGGAGCCCAATGCGGGGCTTGATCCCAGGACCCTGGGATCATGACCTGAGCCGAAGGCAGCCGCTTAACGACTGAGCCACCCAGGCACCCCTCTTCTAATATTTTTTTTTAGCTGTTTTCATTATGTTTATTCATGTTCTCTTAACAGCTGACCTCCCTGAGAAGCTACATTAATTTATTTGAATGCTTTGCCTGATTCTTTCTCATTTGGGAATTTTGGTGATAACACAATCAGAATTTAATATTTTGATTTTCCCAACATTCTGAGGCTATGTTCTTTTTAAACACCCAATATTCTAAGGCTGTGTTTTTTGTTTTTTGTTTTTTTTAAGATTTTATTTATTTGACAGAGAGAGAGACAACGAGAGAGGGAACACAAGCAGGGGGAGTGGGAGAGGGAGAAGCCGGCTTCCTGCCGAGCAGGGAGCCCGATGCGGGGTTCGATCCCGGGACCCTGAGATCATGACTTGAGCTGAAGGCAGTTGCTTAGCCAACTGAGCCACCCAGGCACCCCAAGGCTGTGTTATTTTTAAACACCCTGGGAATCTCAAGATTTTTTTAGTTTTTTATTTCCTGTGATTTTTAAGTTCAAGCCTAACAGTTTGGTTAATCCTTTCATCAGTTCAGCCTAAGAGAGTTCTGTCAGAAGCAGTATTCAGTTTGCAATTAGACAAGCAAAGCAAGAAAACATCAGCAATATTCTCAGATTTTTTAAATTTTCTTAATATACAATTGAAGTTTACTGCTTGCTGTCTTTCAGGCTTGGATAGTAAGAATTGGTGTTTATTTTTGAGCCTCTAGTTCATGAGCAAGGATTCTAACTTAATTGTTCCCCTTCCAGCATTGGAAAGAATTGATGTTTATTTTTGAGCCTCTAGTTCGTGAGCAAAGATTCTAACTTAATTGTTCCCCTTTCCAGCATTGTCAAAGACAGCAGCTTCATTTTCTAAATACTTTAACAAAACAGAATTTTCTAACTGATCAGTTATGTATACATGATAAATGAGTGGCCCAGGGAAGATTCAAGAAGATAATGTCCTTTATTCTTTATCCTTATTATTATTTTCCTTGGATTAACTTTTATTTATTTATTTTTTAAGATTTTATTTATTTATTTGACACAGACATAAAGAGAGAGAGAGAGCAGAAGCAGGGGGAGCCAGAGAGAGAGAGAGAGAGAGAGAGAAGCAGGCTCCCTGCTGAGCAGGGAGCCCAGTTTGGGGCTTGATCCCAGGACCCTGGGATCATGACCTGAGCTGAAGGCAGACAGACGTTTAATCGACTGAGCCACCTAGGCTCCCCTTAACTTTTTTTTTTTAAATGTTTCATCTATCTCACAATATTTTATTCACTTATACGAACTTACTCATACAAACTAATATGAAAACTCAGACAAAGGGGTTATAACATTGGGTCCAGAGTATTTGGCTTCTCCTCTTGCATCTTACCACTAGTTAGAAATAAGTAGCTGTATAGCATGTACTAGGTATAGTTATTGGACTAGTAACTGTAGGTGGCACAAAAAAAAAAAAGATCTCTGTCTTAAAAGTAGTTCTGTAGGTGGGAAAGACAAAGGAGAAGAAATGTGTAAGAAAAAAATGGAAAAGAAAATCTCTCCAGTGTATAAAATGGTAACAGCCACTATTTACTGAGCTTCCCATGGGTAAGGCACTGTGTTTAGCCCTTGACATGTACCGTGTATCTCATTCACAACAGCTCCATTTTACAGATGAGGAAACCGAGGGCAGGGAACTTCAGTAACTTGAAATTGGTACTTAAACCCCCATCTGATATCAAAATCATGCTCTGGCTGTGTAGTGTTGCTTGCTTGATAGAGAGTAAGGGATGGGATACTTATTTTGCTTAACTTTTTAAAAAAATCAGCTGCTTACTATTTTATTTTTTCCAGCTTTAGTGAGATAAAATTGGCATATAACACTGTGTAAATTTTAGGCGTACATCTTGTTGATTTGATAGACTTATATATTGCAAAATGATTACTACCACAGTGTTTTCCTTAACACCTTCATCACATCTCATAATGACCATTTCTTTTTTGGTGGTGAGAACATTTAAGATCCTCTTCCTTAGCAACATTCCTTTACTTTTATATATTTCAGTTGCAAACCTCTTGAATCCCTCAGGATCTGGCACAATGCTGGGAGCGTTGTAAGTATTCTAACTTCCCCAAGGAGGAACTGCAAACCAGGTCACCAGAATCTTGGCAACAGTAATATAAGCTTGAGGTACAAGACCTTCTCTTTTTTTTTTTTTTAAGATTTTATTTATTATTTATTCCTGAGAGACAGAGACAGAGAGAGAGAGAGAGAAGCAGAGGGAGAAGCAGGCTCCCCGCCGAGCAGGGAGACCGATGTGGGACTCGATCCCAGGACCCTGGGATCATGACCTGAGCCAAAGGCAGACACTTAACCATCTGAGCCACCCAGGCGCCCTACAAGACCTTTTCTAAAAGGAAGGGCATAATATAATGGATTTCAGGTAGTTTCCTCATTTGCATAGCCACGAAAGTCTTGGTGCCTCCCTAAATTGTTTCATGCCCCTGGGGTTTTCACCTCACCCTTGGTTTCAGTTGGCTTCCTAGAACTTTTTTTTTTTTTTTAAGATTTTATTTATTTATTCATGAGAGACAGAGGAGGAGAGAGAGAGAGAGAGAGAGAGAGAAGCAGAGGGAGAAGCAGGCTCCCAAGGAGCAGGGAGCCTGATGCGGGACTCGATCCCAGGATCCTGGGATCATGACCTGAGCCGAAGGCAGACGCTTAACCATCTGAGCCACCCAGGCGCCCGGCTTCCTAGAACTTTAAGAGTCAACTCACTCTCCATCTCTTCTCTAGAGGAAACTGACCTCCTGAGATGGTGGGGACCATTCCCTCCTTTGTGTTTTGCTAGTTCCTGTCTGTCACTTCTTCATAGCACACATTATACTGTACTACGTAAGTGGTGTGTGTGCGTGTGCGCCTGTGCTGGTGCTTGTGTGAATTTATAGAAAAGTCTGGGAGGAGTTCCTTGCCATCTGGTGGGGGAGATAAATATGTAACGTAATAAACATATCATGGCAGTGCAGATTTACACGAGATGTCTAAGGCATCTCATGTGTGACATAATATTCATTGAGTGTGTTATAGACATTCAATAGTTTTTATATTAGGAGATGGTATAATTTAGTGTAGGGAAGGAAAAAGTTTTCCTGTATGTCCTTAGGGTAGCTAGCTGGGTCTGAAAATTAAACTGACAAAGAGATTAGCAGGAGAAAAGCATACAAATCTGTGTTTAATACAAGTTTTACATGACATGGGAACCTTCATAAGGAAATGAAGACCCAAGGAAACAGTCAGGCCTGGGTATTTGTATGCTAGTTTTAATGAAGACTGAACAGTCATGTAGAAATATGTTAAGATCAGAGAGCATGAGGCAATCATAGTGAACTAAGGGAAACTTAGCAACTCCTGCTTCTTAGGATTCTTCTCAGCGTCCCTTTGTCTTCAGAGGTAAGAATGCTCCCTTTCTCCAGGTATAGGGAGGGCACCTCTCATAGTAGAGTTTCATGACCTGTTTCAGAGGAGAAGGGTGGTGGTAGGGAAAAGGTCAGAATGATCTTGCTTCTACTGTTTCCTCAAACTCCTTCAGTTTAAAATATTCAATATGCCGTATTTTGAAGTAGCATGTCCTGAACCCCGTCATTAGTGAAGCATACTCAGATTGCCCTATTAGAAACTCTCTGAGGTAGTAATAGCTGCTATGTGAGGAAAAAGAATTTAGTGGTCAAATTAGTTTGATAAATTTGAGGTTGAATAAAATTAAACTTTTTAACGTGTGCTTTAATTTTTTCCATGCAGTACCTTTCAAAATTCTTAATGTGCCGATGCGCATTGTGAATCTCCAAAAGTGAATCCAGTATGCAACATTTTCCAATCATATTTGGCCATGGAATTCTTTCTTCTCTGGGCACCTTAGAACACAGCATGGAGATACTTGATTTCATGGTCGAGAGTGAAATATAGTATCAGTGTCATCATATATTAATTGCTTGACTTTCATCACCTCTTTAAGCCTTAGTGTGCTCATCTGCACATGCAGGTAATTCCTATATTTCATATTGTTGACACAATACAAAAAGGTTATAAAACATCCAGGAGTCCTCTGTAGATGAACAATTACGATTGTTAATAATAATATGTCCAACAGCTGACTGCTCATTGTTAGAACCCTCATCACTTTGCAGAGTACTGGATCTGAAGACTGTTACCCATGACCCAGCTTTAGCATGTAGGTGGCCAAAAAAGGCTTCCCTACTACCTGTATCTTTTACCCTCTAACAGGATCTGAGTCAATATTAGATCAGTCCTCTTCTGGTTATGGTCCTACTGCTTATCATCATCTTATGAAAAAATAAGATAAAGAAGAAGTAAGGTTGGGGCGCCTGGGTGGCTCAGTCGTTAGGTGCCTGCCTTAGGCTCAGGTCATGATCCCAGGGTCCTGAGATCAAGCCCCACATCGGGCTCCCTGCTCGGCAGGAAGCCTGCTTCTCCCTCTCCCACTCCCCCTTCTTGTGTTCCTTCTCTCGCTGTGTCTCTCTCTGTCAAATAAATAAAATCTTAAAAAAAAAAAAGAAGTAAGGTTGAACTAGATAACCTCTAGAGTTCATGCTTTCTAAAATTCTAAGGTGGAACAGAAGTAATTCTCAAGCTGCAACAGATGGAAGTTTTTGTACTTTCTAACTGGGCTGCTGAGAACAAAAGTCCTTGTCATGCACTACTTTATTTTTTTCACTTAGAAAAGCAACTTTATTCCCATTAGTATTCTTTTTTTTAAAGATTTTATTTATTTATTTGAGAGAGACAGAGAAAGAGAGAATGAGAGAGC